AAAATGACTAGATACTTCACAATACCAGGATACAGTTTTCCATCATTAGTCAAGGCATAATACACAGTATTTTATGGTTTCGTAATCATTATGAGACAGGAAGAAGCTTTTAATCTTTGTCAGTTGGTAATAACGATGAAACGGAGCTACAACTCTGTGATGAGTTTGAACAGATTAAAAGGATTGGCTAAATAGTTGAGAGATATAAGATGCACAAGCAAACTTAAAAAAAGTAGTGTTAAACGAAAAGAAGAGGGGGAAGAGAAAGAGACGTCGTAAGTCTGATCTCTACTACTACTACCGTTATAGTCAATGACGTGAGTGAAAAGGCATTAAGCATTTACATGACTGCTTACATTAAATTTCGCTTATACATTTATTCGTGTTCCAGGAAACGAACGCGAGTTATTATCAAACCGAGCTCAAGGTTCTTTTTTTAAAAACACGAAATAACAATAATTACTATTACTTATTTATGGGCATAGTATTGGTACAGACTGTTCAGATGCATCTGGAGATTAAGAGAGCATCATGATGGACTGCTAGTTTTATTTCTTGCTAGACGTACAGTACAGTATATACGTGCAATGATCATATTATATAATTTGTTCAACTGAGTGAAGATAGAGTCACTATTCGTTCAAACAGTGAAGATAGAGACACTATCCACTCAATCCGAGCTAGTTTGTCTATAATGAATATATTAATATTATCGCAGTTTTCAAAATTATAGAAACCCCTAAAATTTGTACACACATACCTCTACAAACTGTTGCGACCACCTCCCCCCTTTCGTTCCGCGTAGTAAAACTCGCTCAAAGATCTCTTCACACAGAAACCCACACTCCACCATAGATTTTAAAGCTAACATAGTAGTTTTATCTCCATATCTATTCCTTCTTGCGCTATTCACCTGCACTCGACTTTTTACCCTTTCCGGGACACTTTTGCTTACTCTCGGTAAGCAGCTCGCCAGTATTTACCAGAAAAGGTTGCACAATTACTAACGATTACTATCAATTACTGCATGATTACTGGCGATTACTGGCGATTACTGGCGATTACACGTATTGACGATTACTGCTTTCAGTTACTATTACCTGTTACGTATTGAGCTCAGAGAATACAACATGAAGAGTGTCTTGTAGTAATGTTAAAAGGACGTTATCATCAATGAATACAAGGAAAATTGAAAATTTGATAGGTTAAAATAAAATATTAAACTATTGTTAATAATGGTAACCAGGACATGATACTTGTGACAACAGAATAAAAATAGTGATATTGATTAAGAATGATCAACAAAGCATTCACTCCCAAAGAATTATGTAAGAAAGAGAAATTTGTTACATAAACTTACACCAAGAGACAACAGTTTGACTGTCCTGGATCATATTGTGAACATATTAATATCAACTACAGCTGATTACATGTTATAACAATGAGTAAGGTGAATTTTTTTTTTAAAATTAGGTTTATTGTTATTTTAAATAATATGTAATTATTAATAATAATAATCCAGCTAAACATAGCTTTAATCAGGAATGTTTTTTAGACAAGTTTAAATAGCTCATAAAATATCAGCATTTTTTTTTTGAAGCAGCTAATTCTGGAAATGTCAAATGGTGCAGATTAATATTAATACTGAATTCAATTGTTGGAAACTGAAAAGCAGAAGATGTTTCTTATTATAAAGTTACCCAAAGAAATTAAATTTTACCTGTTTTTGTATTTATGTAACATTTTAAATTACAAAATAAAAATACAGACTTTTTATTTTGCATATTTACCAGAGAAATGATTTAAACATGCATGCCAGCATGCCAGTTGAAATATTTTTCTTTAAAAAAACACCAAAAGGTGATAAGTAAAGTTCTGTAATGTAAAAGAATTATTTGTTATGCTGAAAGTTTCATCATTTGCTAGAATTGAGTCTTAATCTTGTTGATATTAGTTAGTATTAGCAAAGACTTGGATTAGTTTGGCAAAAAATAAAAACATGAGATTTAGATATCTTTTTTGCCATTTTTAATTTATATAGTAAGTATTTTCTTATATTTTGGTAAATTTCAAATGCCAGGAATTTGGTATTTAATAAATAACAAGTCTCTTACTCTTGAAGATTAGCCAGGTTTCTTGCCTTTGCTTTTCTAATTATGTATCTGTTCTCATTGTTTAAGCGTTTTTTGTTTGGTTTCTTTGTCTCTTTCAACTAATTTCTTATAAGCCAGCTATTCAGGATAAGCATAATCAGCAGCAACCATTTCTCTCATTGTTATATTTAGTTCAGCTTGTAATTAAATTTGAGAGTAGAATTATCTTTTAAATAAAATACTCCATTCACACTAGCTGGTCTTTACCTATGTGCAAAATCTATCATTAAGTACAGAGGTGTCAAACTATTAAAAATATCTCAACCACTTTACAAAACTTTTCTTCAGTTTGGGCAACTGACTATGAGCCATTAGGACTACCTTATTATTATATTGCTGGTCAGGAAGTTCCTTGGCCTGAACCAGATTATGCTTATCATGTGCTGACTTATAGATGGCATAAATGTTTTTAACATTGGTGATTATAGTTGTCTTCTGTATTTGAAATGTTCAATTCCAAGTATCCAGGAAGGTTATCTTGTATGATTATACTTTCAAAATTCGCTCAAAGTGGGGGTTGGGGATATGAGTGTACAGTGTATCTTATTGTATAGGGACATTTGTTTTCATAACGTTGGGAGGGTGAGATATTAATATAAGCGGGTAGGGGTGAACGGAGTGCGAGTGTAGTTTTATTATTAATGATTTTTATACAGAGACAATTCTATATTTGTATTCATCTCCCAGTCAACGTTAAGCATTCTCAGCACTTATTGCGCTCATTCACATCGCGATTAGTGCAGCAAAGGGCAAAGAGCGCATGTTTTACGTTTTAATTTAGTTAACGTGGCGCATCTACTTTTACCACGTGTTTTTCATAACTGTTCATCGAATCACATATAGTGTACTGCCAGCACCATATATTTTTCTTTGTTCGACAAAGATAACTGTAGTTTTGTCGTTTGCTTATTTGTATAAATTATTTACAATGAAAAGGTTGCTTTTAACTGGAACGTAACACATAACCCTTCACTTATACCCAGCCTTCTCAGTCGCTAATTGTATTATATTAATGTTTATAATCTTATCTGATGTTATATGCGTAAGTTTCCATAAAATTAACAGTTCTTGCAAAACTTTTGATCCCATATTTGTAGGAATAATAAGTCGTATCAAACTATACCAGTTCACAAAACCTGTATGTCAGCTATGGCTATGTCAAAATAGTGCTTAGATATTACTTTAATTTCTGTACATAGTAATAGATATTCAGAAGCGATAAATTAATTAATATTAGAAAAATAAATTTCGGCGCGTCTATCTAATTAGATCTCATGCTTGCTCCTAGCAAATTTAATACGTGATTTTAGCCATTTGTTTGACATGACGTTGTTATTACTGAATCAATCTATTATTGGTGCTATACTTATTAAATTATTACACATCCTTGAAACAACGGATACGGGGTGCTATTTGTTAATGGCATTTATGTATATAATCGAGAGTGTGACAGGACAACCAACGTTCGGGATTCTTGAACATTCATTGCAAATCGAAAACATTGAATTTGTTGGATATTATTGCGGTTTAACCGAGTGGTATTCATAGGATTATTTAGTATACTTTCCGATATTCCGTAAATTTATTAATATAATCTGCCTGGTAAATCTTTGCAACAATGTGGTGCTGCCGATCGCCTTTCTCCACAATTTTATTAATTAAGAAGAATATCCGGGGTTTGGTAGAAGAAAGTTATGATATGATTAAACATCGGGAAAACTTACCTCAAAAATAAAGTTTGGAGTTGGGGGGTGGGGGGGGGGGGGACCGATCCGATGGATGTAAAAGTCAAATACTTAAAATCTTAATCGAGCACAAAGGGGAGATATTAGTTTCAACATGGACAAATGTATTAACATGTCGAAGATGTACGTTAAGCTTTATAAAAATAGATCCAATTAATAAAGCAGAGGTGAGGGGGGATGGTGTGGGAGATACAGACTTTGTCAGTTATGGCAGATTGATCGACAGAATGAAAACTTTGCTCATTTATTTGAGCAGCTCCGAATTACGATAAATTAACCCGCAGCCCAGTTTATACTAACGAGGTTGCACAATTACGTTTGTCAAGTATTACAATGAAATAAAATCAAGATTGTCTAATTGGAGAGTGGGGTGTAATAATAATGCAACCAGAAGCATATTCTAAAAATATCAGCACATACTTGCGGCTGAGCTGAGCAAGCAAAAAGTTCCACATGTTCACTATTTGTACAACTTTTTCATCTCATCTCCACTTTTTTTTTCTGATCATATAAACAATTGATCCTGTTGTGTCGTTTCAAATTTGGGGGCGATGCCTGCATAGTTTAGTTATTAGTACAATTGGTAGTTTATATTATACCTGCTCCATTATCTCTTCCGCATTGTACGACCTGTGATGAAAATCTGGGGTTAATGCCAAAATTTTCATCATCGTTACACGACCGTCAAGGTCTGTGCTTCGGTAGTTAACGCAGGATGGGGAGAAGCAGGAAAGTGAACAGGTGGGGGAATTTAAGGAGTGTGTTATGAGAAAAAAAGACGATGTAATAATGGTGGAATGTTATGTTAAGAATACATCGTAGAAGGTGATCAGCGCTAAAGTTAGTCAGCTGATCCCATTGTTTTCCCGTGGAACTTGACCGAAAAAGTTTTCGATGAAAAAAAAAACTTTAAAAAAGGGTTTATGCTATCTTATATATATATATGATTAATTAATTAAGAATCTTTCTTATCCTGGCGAGTGTTTTCTTGCTAGTTGGAGATTGTACGTCAACGAAGATCCAGTTCGCGTACTCGGAGAACAAGTTCAATGAAAGAAAGTTTAACCACTGATTGATTTCTCTACCCTACTATCCATTCACAATGGCCAAAAAGAAGAAACGATCCAATCGTTTACTCCACAGATTAGCATCTCACGAACAAACAGCATCTAACAACTCTTTCTCTATACCCTCCTCAATTATCTATAATATACTTTCTCATCTTCCCCCCTCATCTCCTTCTACACTTCCGACCCTCCGTTCTTGTCAACTTATCAATCACTCATGGTGCGAAGCGGCCTTGAGAACGTTCTGGGAACAACCGTTTTATTACAGTCAAAGCTATAAAATACTTGAAAAATATTTAGAATGGATTGGCGACGAGGAATGGGAAAAGTTGGCAACGATAGGCCTGTTTAAGCCAAAGTTTCGGAAATCGAATAACAGCCCCCCAAGAAAAAAGTGGATTGACTATCCATCACTTATAAAGCATCTAGACTATGTCGCAATGTTAGATGCTAGCCATAACTATATCGATCGGTTTGCTTCCATCATGGACGAATCATCTTCCATTTCGTCTCCAGTATCCGTTCTCATGCAGTGTATATTTACACTATTCCAACATCACGGTGTACGATTAGAGAGTCTATCAATGGACACACACTCCAGAGATGTATATGATATTGAGTTTGACGATGAATACATGATATTGGCGGTTAGAGAATACGGTGAATTGGTGGAGCATTTAAAAAGGGTAGAGATTAAGACTGGATTTAATAAGGAAAGATTGTTCTTGTGGTTAGCAGGGAATTGTCGAGAGTTGGTGAGTAATGAAAAATGAAGAAGGCTGAAGTGAACAAGCATGTGAAAGATATAATGGGGGGAGGGGGCGTTTGTGTACTAATATTAACGGGGTTCCCGATCTATTAAACACATATTAATATTATTTCATCTCATACCTTTACACAGACTCACGTAGACATAAACATGCTGCGTGTACGCACGTACGCAATGCAACAGAATTGGGATGAGAATGCCTCTCTCTTCACCTTTCTCAAATCTCAACGACACATTATTCACTTCCACCTTTCCAACTTTGACTCTGATACATCCGAAATGGAGCTTATATCCCCCGCCATATCGAGTTTTTCCAATGAGCTCTCATCTCTTGTTTTCACTGACGTCGATTTCCGAGGCTGTGGTCCTTTGGATTCTATTGCCGAGTGTGACAATCTTCAACGGCTGTGGTTTGAGAATGTAGATAATTTGGATGAAGAAATGGTTGATCCCATCGTTTACAAGAAATGGGCGGCTTTAAAAGATGTCGTGGCCTCGGGTGGTGTGTGCGGACGAATTCTCGAATGGATCGATAACCGTAAAATGGCTGGTGAAAGCAGGGACGAGAATATGGGATATGGAGAATTTGGGCATGGCGGGTGTGGAGGTGAAGGGAATGTGAGGGGTACAAACGAAATTGGTTTAGGGAAGAAGAAGAGAAAACGGAAGAAAAAGCGCAAGAGTAAGAAAAGTAGTAATGCAATTGGTGGATACGTTGAAAATGGAAGCGGGAATGTGATCGGTGTTGGTATCGAAGTTATGTAATTGGGGCCCAATTATTATAATACATTTCGTTATTATACTTTAAATAAAATAATAATCATTAATTCGTTTAAATCAACCTATTTTGGTGGTCAACTTTAAGTGTTAACCGTTCATGCCATGTAACCAGCATGAACGTATTAGTATTAGCTTCTCACATTCTGCCCCACATTAAGAGTTTCTCACGCTTTGTTTCATGTGAGTATTTTTCGGAGTGATAGCAAATCTGGTAAAATTACCAGTTTCACGTGATGAATTTTGTTTCGGCATATGCTTGTCGCACCTATATCAAATGTCCATCCTTTCTTATTTTTTCACTTTCGTTTCCTATAAGCTGTCGAGAATGTACTTAATTATCTCGACCCGATGGATGTATTATACTTTTTCGGTAATGTTGTCTTTCCTCGCATAATATAAATATCAGACTTTGATTTTTTTAGAGTGAATGAATAGACCGACAACTTCTTTTCCACTAATATATCAATTCGAACTTTCCCTCAATTTCAGCCATTAAATTCTTGCAATGGTCTTGTATATATAATATCTACTTCTACTACATCTGCCATTCGATACTCCACGCTTTGGGTGTTTTTCCTCTTCTTGTTGTTGATACACAAATTTCTACACTCCCCCACTCAACCGCGATCATAATCTAAATCTTAATTATCGTCACAAATGGCAAACGTATCAGAACCGAATTGTCCTCACCCGTTTATATATTACCCCAAGGCTAGCCCTAACCCTAATGTTCACTGCGATTCGAATGGTTGCTGTTTGTCATGCCCACAGTTCAATAATTTCTATGGAGCGGGAAAAATCGAGTTACTATTCACCGTGTTAGGGTGTATAGGAATAGTTGGATTCTTCTTAATGATTATTTTAGTTTTAATATTTATTGTGCTTCCGAGTACAAAACACAATCCTGTTATAAAAAAGATATTACTCCCATTAGCAGTAAGTGTCCTATTGTTCTCTGCTGCTGATTTCTTCAGTATAGACCAAAGGCGTACTCAGGTAAGGCGTAGAGAAAGAACGGCAATGTGTTTATCGTTGTGATAAAAAATTTTGCTCACATTTCCAATTTATGCACGCAGTGTGTTGATGAAGTTGAGCCGGCAACGATCCGTAACAATAAACTGTGCGCCGCTCAAGCATTTTTCGAACTTGCTGGCGCGTACGCCGTTGCTCTGTGGGCAAGCGTATTGATCATTAACCTTCACATGGTAAAGAGATGACTTGTTTTAATGCCATTGTGTTATCATGCGACGTCGAATTGACTTGTCTTTCCTCTCTCTTCCGCTTACGTAGTTATCAGTTTGGAGATCTGATTTTGTACTGAGGAATATCAAATATTTCCACGTACCCGTTTGGATAATGGTTTTTCTCGCAGCCTTTCTTCCGATGATGTTAAACCAAGTAGAATCAGGAGGATTTTGCTTTGTTTCTCATAAGGCTACCCCAATATTCTACTACATTCTCAGTTTCATATTTCCAGTATGTCTTCTACATTTGGTTACGTTAGCATATATGGCAAAGGTAAGGATAATTCTTTGAACTTGGATCAGAAAGCTATCGATAATAGAACTTGTTGTTAAGATGCCATTTTTCTTCCCCACTACGTACAGGTCTCAAACAGAGCGAACAGTAGGCGAAAAGAGGCGAGAATGTCTTTCTCAGAAGCGCAGGTGTTGTTTGTTCACATAAAGCATGTCATAAAAGTGCAATGGAGAGCGTTCATGGGCGCGGCTTTTATGCTGGTCGTATACCTCACGGATGTGGTAATGATAATAATAATGATAATATAGATATGTTTCTTATTTTGTAATTGATTAGTAATAACTTTAGCGCTTACAAATTTTATTTTTCTCTACCCTCTCCATCCAAACTTCTTTCCAGTTTTATTTTACCTTTAGCACTCGTAAATTTGTCATCACGCCGAATACCGTTTGGTTTCAACAATGGGTCGAATGTATGGAACAAACAGGTGACCAGGATGGCTGTGCATCTTATGCCATCGTACCATCTTTCGTTCTCCAAGTTATCGTGCTCACTCTTAATCGCAGTGTCGGAGTGGTTATATTCATCATATTTGCGGGCAAAAAAAGTGTGTTCAAAGAAATGATTCGACTAATAACAAGAAACCCTGGAGAGGAGTCTATCTTAGGACTTAGTTCCATTCCAGATGTACGCGGAAGTAGGATGTCTAGTATAGCAAAACGAAGCAGGCTCGAAGATTACGAGAGAGGGCGGTCGAAGGGGGGAAAGAAGCCAGAGTTGCGTAAAATTGATTACAATCCAAGAAACTTGGAAGGTAGAAAAGGCGAACAATCAAGAATCAAACGTACAAACCGGAAACCTGGAAATAATAGAAGTAGACGCGAGACACGCGAAGCCAAAACGAGAGCAACGAATAGCGAACCTGTAACAGAAATAGTTGTAAACGCGGCTGTTTTACCACCATTACCGATCCCCGCTTCACCACCGCCATCTTTGCCTACATATACACCGTCAAACCATCCTCTATTACCTCCTAAATTACATTTACCTCCGCCCCCTCCGTTTGATCCGCCTACTTCGTTATCGCCGAGACCGAGAAAGGCATATTCACCTGTTCAGTATATTGGCGACTCAAATCCAACAGCTTTCCAACCTGTTATTATGCAAGCAACGGATGTTACGTCTGCAGATGTACAAATTAGTTCGCCTAGTCAGAACGATTACAGCACAGACTTAAATACTTCGCAACCTATGCAAGTATCCGATTTTACGTCAACGGAAGTTGAACATACTGATACGCTAGTTAGGTTGCCTGCTCAGCACTTTTATGGCACAAGTTCAGATGCTTCGCAACCTTCTCTTAGCCAATTCTCGGACGTTCCGTCTATAGAGGACCAATATACTGATATGCAAGTTAGTTCGCCCGCTCAGAACGATTACGGCACGAATTCAAATGGTTCGCAACCTGCTCTCAATCAGTTGTCGGACGTTCCCTCCACAGAGGTCCAATGTACACAAGTTAGTTCGTCTGCTCAGAACGATTACGACAAAAGTGTAAATGCTTCTCCACCTGTTATACGAGTGTCGGATTTTACGTCACCGGAGGACGAATATACTGATATGCAAGTTAGTTCGTCTGCTCAGAACGATTGCGGCACAAGTCTAAATGCTTCTCAACAAGTGTCGGATGCTACGTCACCGGAGGTCCAACATACTGATATGCAAGTTAGTTCGTCTGCTCAGAACGATTACGACACAAGTTTAGATGCTTCTCAACCAGTTATACAAGTGTCGAATGTTGCGTCACCGGAGGACCAATATTCTGATGTGCAAGTTAGTTCGGCTGCTCAGAACGATCACGGCCAAAGTTCACATACTTCACATTTTTCTATTAGTCAATTGACGGATGTTTCGCCAGTAGAGACTCATACTAATTAGTTCGCCAGTCGAGAAGATCCGTGATAGAAGGAGAATATTGGTACGAGTTATTACGTGGGACACAATGACAATTATGAGATGAATGCTGGACTTTCATAGGGGATGATGTATCCCCAGATCTCCGCTCCTGTTTACGATAGCTTGATGAGAGAGGGTTTTGCTCATCGCCAAATTATTTTTAATAGTAAAATCAAGAATTGGGGGACGGTTGAATGCGAGAGTGGCAGATTGGATAATCTATTTTTTAGATTTCTTTATTGAGGAAAATCTGTGTATATTTTATTTATAAATATCGGACTAACCACCTGTATGTATGAAATATGCAAGATTTAATATCATGAATATGATGTTACCGTTACATTAGCAAGATCTACTAGAACATGTTGATCTGATTTCTAATTCTACAAATGACGCCATCCCGGATAATGTTTTTCACGAAAACTTTAATTCCACGCGTGTTCTTACAGAGCGAGTATGTTTCGGCCGGAACTCGTTGAACTTGTTACCAAGCTTAACTCAGAAATTCATTTGCGTATTGGTCGCTATAAATATCAAATACACGTTCGAGATATTGTAAATACACGCCCTAAGGGTGGGTAAATAAATATCCCCAAAGAAACTAAATACCACGTGTTGAAGGCAGGAAAGGATATTTCAGATATGTTATTTGCTAATATAATCAACTTACACGGGGACGTTATTGAAATGTAGCCTCATCCGATAATCAAAGACTGTTAAAGTCGTAGTGGGAGCGTAGCTGAATAGATTCAACGTATACGACTTTGCCTTGCTTGATTCTCCAAAGATATTAAACCCATTCATTTATCACGTGATGAGATTGCAAAAATAAAAATCCGTTTTCTTAGCGTTCGGTATTCGAGTAGACCAATACATCAACACAACCATTGCAGGTCTCTGGATTCGAACTGTAAGCATATTGGTAGCTAATCATGGATCAGACGCTGGAAGAAGTTGTCAAATATTGCAGCAAGCAACTTGATGCTTATCAGCGCTGCATAGAGAATAATCCTCAGAATTGGGGAGTTGCTTGTTCGAAATATAAGACCGAACTTAATAAATGCGCCGAAGAAAAGTATGTCTTCTCTCTGTCATATATCTCGCCCAACTTCGGTTACCTCTGGCTAATCAAAAAATTTTCGTTTCGAAAGTGTGACGGAAGTAAAACGTGTCAAAGCCAAATGCAGTTCAGTCATTTCAGCATTTGACAACTGTCTACAGAAAAATCAAAAAGATCCGGATAAATGTATAGAAGAACTAAAGCAGCTGTACCAGTGCACAGAAGAAGCTGCAGGAAGGAAGTTATCCAGTCGACCCCCAGCGATCGCTGATAACAAGAAGTAGTGGGGAACGCTCAATTTCGAAACTTCTGACAAGCATACAACGAAAGACACGTCTTGACAAAAGTCCGATAATTGTGGTGTCTCCGGAAGGAAAAAAGAATCACAAGTGATTTCAACAGGGAACCGACCCGATAGTCTGCGTGATTGTCCTGGGAGTATACGCATATATATAAATTGTGATCCTCAAAACGAGTCGGGTGTTTAACCGAATGAGTGTAATGTAGTATCGTAAATGACTGTTTTTGTATGCATAACAAACGCATCTACTGTATTAAAGTATTCGTTCGTTCTTACTAATTGCTCACATGTCCGCTCCGTTCCAGTGATCTTCTATCAAAGATCATGGTTCATTCGCAACTGAACGGAATTATCATATTGAAGGGCTTAACGTGAGAGATCAAAGAGTTTGATAAATCGTTACTAGCTTGAATTCATTTTCCTTTGCAAGAGGATACGCCCCTTTTCCTGTTTTTTGTTTAGTGATTAGCCATTTCCAATAGCATTTGGAGGGTTGGCAGTAAAGAATACGCTAATACAAATTCTTTAAATCGAAACAACGTGTCCTATACTTATGTAATTCTGATCTAACCCAACTTTGTTTACGAGTAAAGACTTTTGATATTCATTGATGGACAAATGCGAATAAGATAAAACGAAAAGTAGTCGAAGTGTTGTTGGAACATTCTCTAATATCTATTTCGTGTTGCAGTATTTGATTGGTTGATTACGTTTCCATTTATCGTCTAGTATGCTAGATGTTAATGCATCATTTTTGTTGCATTAATGATTGACAGCACCCAGTGAGTTATACTCTCTATTCGAGCGTATCAGTCTTATATAAATGGCGATTTGATTATCTTAAAGTTTTTTGCAGATTTGTAGATCTATCCGCGTATAGAATCCAGTCCGCACCTCCGAGTGCTTATTACATAGAAGAATTTATTAGCGCCGATGAAGAAAGAGTTCTCTTGGATAAAGTGCGCTTAACCGCTCGTCAAAGTACAATATCGGCAATGATGTCGCATCGTTCTGATTTTATACAAATTTAATAGGTTTATGCGGCCCCAAAACCAAAATGGGTCTCTTTAAAGAACAGAAGGTCAGTTAACGTCAATTATAATCAGTTTTATTTATCCTGTCTATACATATATTTACCAAGCACTTTCGCCAAGTAGGCTCCAAAACTGGGGTATGCATGAGCTATAGGTTAATCATCAAATATGCGAATATTAGAGACATAACTATTGAGTAATTTATCTTAATTAGCACATTAATCTTGCTTTTTAACCAAGGTGGAATACCAAGAGATAAGAGCATGCTCTCTGAACCACTACCATCTTGGTTAACAGAGCCTATTTTCCCAAAGCTGACATTTTTGAAAGTGTTTGACAAATGCGCAGCGCGTAAGCTTCCAAATCATTGTCTTGTGAATGAATATGTCAGTGGTCAAGGAATTATGGTATGCACAAAAAGTGTCAGTTTAGTATTAGTACTAAGACAAGACATTTACAACAGTGTGTGTTTATTTTGATAAGCCGCATGAAGATGGTCCATTATATTATCCAACAGTCGCAACAGTTTCTCTTGGATCACATACAGTACTGGATTTTTATAAGCATCGTTTTCAGAATGCAGATCAGAGTAACATGGATTCAAATCCTCTGGCGTTTTCTCTATTGATTAAGCCAAGAAGGTGGGAATTTTATACATGCTCTGATTCGGTCAGATCAAAATATAATGTTAATAGATATATTCCAATAGTCTCTTAGTGCTTCAAGATGATCTTTACAAAAGTTATTTGCATGGCATTGAAGAAAGAAACAAGGATGTTTTATCAGAGAAAAATATAATTAATGCTGTGGATGTGGAAGATATTGAAATAGAAAGGGGAACTAGAGTCAGTTTGACCTTTCGCATTGTTGAGAAAGTCATCAATATCAAAGCAAGCTTATTTAACAGAAAAACCTAAATATTTCAATTTGTTTATTGGGAAGCCTTAGCTACAGAAATGTAGAGCAATAAATATTGCAAAAAAAATACACTTTACTATTCAATAATGCACAATGTAGCAAAGTTATGTATAAACCAATATATAAAAAATTCTATTTAACAGCAGTCATAAAGCCAAATTGGCAAATAAGACACACCTAAACACATTTTTTCCCTACAAATTTCTTTCTCCAATTCTCCAATTCAAAACAAGACATACAGTCTATTAAGTTCACTGTTGTAAGCTTTGGCAAGTTGACAGATATCAGAGGCTCCACAACATTTTGAAGAAGATGACACATGACTAATTCTATTGTTTCCAGATTAACAAGTTTTGAGATGCCCTCAAATGCATCATCATGATCAGCATCAATAAATATAAACGTAAGGTGATTAAGAGAATTAATATGGTTATACAATGCTTTATAAACGATTTTAAAATAGTGGGGTTCCATATGAAAAGGTGGTTGAAATGAGAATTTTTGTAGTTTCTTCTGTGAAGCAATCAATCGTCTAAGTGCAAGTATGTCACTTTGAGGAATAAAGTCAGTAGATGTAAACGACAGATGTAAATTAACCTAAAGAATAGCATACATTCAGGTGAATCCCAAAATATGGAGTAAAACCATTCAAATTTACCAAACTTTATATAGCTTACCACATTATGACATGTATCAGCTAAGCTATTCAATAAATCAAATGTATAAGACTGGGAAGAAATCTTCAATATCTCTACATTCTTAAACAATGGACGTATAGGATGTTGACATAATAGTAACACATCAGCCCCTGATTGTATTCTCATATCCTCAAGTAGAATTTCCTCATAATCATCTTCCTCAATAACCAACTTCTGAATGTTTGGTGAATATCTTTGGTATACAAGTAATATTGCAAATGCAATCTGCCTCCTATAGTTGTAAATGTCCATTTCATGGTAATAGTCCGTTTGATAATGCTGTACTAGCCATGTCCCAATTGTTTGGTAAAGATCTCCTATATCAAGAGTCTTCAAGAAAGCAGGATATGGAAATGCAGGTGGTATTTTTGCTTCCGGTAAGTCAATGTCTATTAATTTCCTATCTTCGGGTGTTAATAGTGATATGATGGTTTCCACTTGGGTTGGATTGGAGATAACTTCACACCAATAAAATGAGACAACATTCCTACACCAGTGTCTGTTTACTAGCATGCAAGAAAACAAGTCAATTTGGCTACCAGCATGCTGAATATGAGTAAAAATATTGTGCAGCACGAGGGTTGGAAAGTATCTACACATTGCTATGGCGTTTGGGGTCCGAAGTTCTATAAGCAACTATGGAGCTGTCTACAATGGTTACGAAAATTCGTTATATAACACCAATTTGAGTTACATTAACACGTGATTGATCACCAATGAAATCGTGTGTTCGGTAAGAATATTCTGCAACCCGCAATATGTGTTACACATACATAGAAATCTTTCGTTAATCTCACCCATTTCCTCCATTACTATGTTTGGACTGCTTCTCCGTAACAATCGAAAACTATCTTTCACATTAGTAATTATATCCGCGAGGAAACTTTTATCCGCAAGTAATAGTAATTACAAACAATCCCAATTCGAAAATGTATGCGCCGCCATATGAAGCAATATCGTATTAGGTTTGACAATTGGCCAGAATTTCTTGTATTATAGTTACCGACGACGTCTGATATTAATGCGAGGAAATTTTGTTCTCTGTCATTGTGTATCTTTATTTAACTGAGAAACTACTGTTGAAAAGTTGCCAGTATTATTTTTATCGTAGCAAAAGCTGAATTACGAACTGGAAATTACACTAACTTTCTTAGAATGTACTAATACTAATAAGATTATGTTTATGGTTGACAGCTTAGCCAAAGAAGCGAAATAAATGAATGATTGAGACGGATATATTGAATTGCTTATCAGTTTTTATCATCACAACTTTTGAATAACTATTCAAGCAGCAATATTAATATCGGACATAAGAACGAATTACTGCAGAGAATGTTTTTTGTTTGTAACATTCTAATCTTGTAAGCAGAAGTTACTATACTAATACTACGAGAAAATTGTTTAGCTATGATTGAAATAATGTGTGGTTTTTATTGGCACAGCTTATGACGGACTGCTAAATAAAGATGTGTAAATAACAGATATTTATATTATAAGTTGAATTACTCAAGCAAGTAATTCTGCTTTCAGTTTACCTTTCAGCAGTAACAAACTTGTCATGATTGAAATTCATATCTGTCTTTAACTCATTTGTTATTCCAACTGTACATAAGCTTGAATATTTCTTTAATCCCTCTTGTTACAGGACTACAATTATATTAAAATAGTTATACTATTACTGTTCTAGCAATAGTAATAGTGATCAAACTGTGTAATATTCAGTTAATGAGCATATAAGATTGTAGCTTATTCTTTGATGGACTTCAATGCTTTATAACGAGTTACGTTCAGACTGCAAATTAGAAACTTAACGCCATGTTCAGAACACTGACGCCTTGGTGCGAGCAGGTAATTAGACGAATACGCGTTTGTTGCTATAAGTTCTTGAATGCTTAAAAAGAGTATCTGGTGAGCCATGTATGCGGCATATCGATTACGCGTTGCTTACAATATGCCTTGCTAATAGACCTAATGTTAAGCTAAATAGGGACTGACTGCATTATAAAGACTTCTGTTTGCAATGATTATAGTGATAAAAGTTTTTGCGTCTTTAGCTTATACATCTGACCGACCGAACTAAACAATGTACAGTACAGAACTAATGTCAAATACGGAGCATCTGCAAACCTTGAAACAAAATATTAAACGATAGAATCGTAGAACTTTGATTTAGCAAATACGCATGGCATTAGTTTTGTACGTTCAATCAACGCACTAAAAACCAGAAGAAGAAATAATTGAATGATAGATGACTTTTAACATGACATTCCTAGATGACTTTATCAGTCAACATAATGCCAAGCTAATACTTAAGTTAAACTTTACATAGCAGTGCAGTGTTAAGTAAAATGTACCAATAAGTGTCATTTGATTGCGAGAAGGGACTCATTGTTTTTATGAAGTAATTTATATAACAATCAACAGATTCAGTACTTTGTTAACTCTGTCCACCACGATAAACAACAATGATGGTAATAAACTGTGAATATTTATCTCATGTTCACTTGCTAATCTGCAAATTGCAAGCATGTATCCTGACGGAAGAAAGTTGCGTAGATGGTTTTAGATCGAAGCCTAATCAATACGATTATATGAACATTATGAATGGCAAGTTTACCTTTTATTCGTTCACATTAATCTTACATTCAAGCATGGTGCGTGCTATTCATACGGCACGCATCGATGAGAGCTAATCTGAATCACAGTCAAAAACTGTAACGTATTACGTAATACTTACTAGTATTACATTGCCTACCCGCGACATAAATTTTATAATGTTATATTAGCACATTTAATAAGATTTATTTCAAATTACATAAGGTAACGAGTTCTTTGTCTTAAGAAGCAAAATCTACAAAATGCCGTACAACCTTTTAGACACATCCGATGACCAATTAAATTATCTCCTAAATCAAGTATTCTGAAGTCCCCAGCCTCGGAACGCACACGTAATAGTAAGGCAGAAAGAGGACATTGCGTCGGAAAGACCAACTGCTTGCCTATTGATCAATTGTATCGTCTCGGTAAATCATTGCTATTTACATATTCATAATAGCAAACTTCATTCTGATATTTTGTCTCTGCACAAGTTGAATATTCCTCTTGATATCTTTAAGTATCAAGGATATGATGTCTCTGAAGACAGTGCACACATCTGTTAAACTAGTTAAGACTACATTATGGTGATCACATTTGGCAGTTCAGATCGTGGTGTTATTGGTTATGTACTAAGCAATAATCATCTCTTTATTTATTTAGCATCTCATTCTTTCAACATGTAAAAGGGAGGGGTTAAAAGTTAAGCAAAGTGATGAACTAATTGAAAAAAATGTAAAGAATGCTACAAATTTAAAACAAACTCCATAAATATGTCATCTTTTATCACATGTTGACTTCCTCAGCCCATTCCTTAATAGCATCAGAATCATAACATTGTATAATTTCTACCTTTTGAAGATTAGGGAATATTCCTTTTCTAAAAGGTGAAGCAAGTTGTCCTTTGACATGCATGCATCTGTTAAATTCAATATATTCCAACTTATGGAATTGATCAAAATACTCCAAGGGATTCTTATGTTCTTTTTTATGTTGAAACATAATTTCCTTAAAGATAAGAGATTGTAAAGAAGAAGCATACTTTAACAAGATCTTGCTCATTTTTCTAATATATCTTCCCTCATTATATGGCTGGGTGGTGTATGTAAACTTTTTCAGATTCGGTTGGCTCTTTATCAACCCAGCAATAGTTTCCTTCCATTCATCGTACTTGTTGTTGTTCCATTCTTCTTCAATTATTATCTCCGTCTTAAGAACAAGGTAGAATTGTTCACTGTAAGTATGATGTTTAGAATGCCGCAAACTAAACTGCTGATTAATTAACTTACCAGCGAGTGACAGTGTTCTCGCATGCTGTCATAAAATTTTTTAATTGTAGTGCCCGTTATCACCTTTACGTACAGTTTCTGGGCCCTGATGAACAAAGGATCGAAATTCTCGCGCATGGCCGTGATTAAATATTCATCGTTTGTGTACAAGATGTTCCGATTATTACTGAGCATGATTTCTTGCACGGTTGCATTGTACTTGCGATAGAGATTGAGAAGACTCTCCGCCAGAACGTATCGTAATCTGAACCATTCGTCAAAGGGTAGAATACAGTCTTGAAGACCTTCTTCATGCTGGAGCCATTCTTCGAGCGTTTTATGCAAATCAGAAGCATTGAATTTAGTAAGAAAATATGGGTATGGAAACATGGGCGATGGGTTATGCTCCGGAAGCTTGAGACCCTTGCATTCTAATGGCTTATCTATTAGAGATATAAGTGTATTAGCTTTCTTAGGATTTAACGAAGCAGTCTCCCAGAGTAATCTGGCCGCATTTTGACCCCACTGTTTGTTTATGTACAAGCACGTGTACAAGTCATTTGGCGTCAAGTCGTCGTACACTTTAGAAATAATTTCGTTGGGAACATCGACAGCCATGGTGAAAACAGTAACTGGTAAGGGAACAATTTGGGCCGAAAGCTTTTTTATTGTGCTATTGTGCACAGCGAAATTTGTGAAACGGAACTCAGCCACCTGACGGTGCATACGCCATCACATCATTGTAACGAGGAAACAGCTACTACCCCTTCTCGACTCTACTACCTACTTTTTCACACAAAATTCTCATTTTCTGTTCCAACCATCTGTATTCCTTCTCATCTCTGTTCAAAATATTTACTTGGAGGTTTTTGATTTGTACTGGTGTGAGATGGATACGATCAAACGTCAAGGCAAGGCTTTCGGAGATGTTTGAAGATCTGGCGCAGTAGTGAGTATTACGGTGTAAATAAATCCTAGATCGTTACGATACTCTGTAATGAGACGGCTGTACAGTAACTACAAAGATAAAGCGAATAGACAAATACCTTCATCGACTGCGTAATCACAATAAAGTCTAGTGCGATGGTAAAGATTGCACAACATTGGTTAAATGGAAGTACAAATTACCATTTTCCACACCAACAACAATGATAACAATTCTTGCGTTTATCAACCTATATTCGTAGTGCTTACCCGCCGCAGCCATAGATAATCAATTTGCCTTTGTAGAACTTTCACATGATGGCTCGAATGACCATGGCAATATATCAACTCCCTTGAATTCCATAAATAGTTAGTAGTTACTAGTGATACTTGACGTTTCCGTTTTCAAGAGGTTTGGATGTAAACTACTCACCGCATCAATAAGGGCCTTTGGCAAATTTAACGTCATACCGGTCATTCTCCCACTGATAATTGGGTCCCCAGTGTAGAGAAAACACCTCCAAAAATAGACAAATGATCTGTATCTACTTACCAATTCTTGCGCTTCTCGAAGGTGATCATGGTTGTGGGGGTCAACGCAATATATTCCACTGCGATGGATGTTCTCACTTTCTGTAGAAACCACACAGATATATAGTAGTGAAACGAGCATAAACAAAAGATTTGTAATCGATCCCACCGTGGATGCGTTGATCGGACAGCCCATTCTCGCGGATGATCCGATGCCGAAAAGCAATCCGGAGGCTGAATCCTATCAGAGGCATAGTTTTGTTACATTCAATTTTGTCAAGCGGGTATTCTTTTATCACTTGCTTTCCCTATTTGAACGTTGATGATACATGGCTTCATAGCTTCATTCTTATCTTCACCAACGCCGGCGTAATTAACTTCATTTGCATGTAAAGATTCGACCGTATCCTTGCATCCTTGATAACCGTAATCTAGCACATGATTGTTTGCTAGTGATAAATACAGCGGGTTTGCGCGCGAAGTATACGGAAGTTGGCCATGATTTGAGCGTGGAATTAAGTTGAGTATTGCTTGGATGTGCTGTTGAACGATGCAGGTATCATTAGATAACGAAAACTGGAGGAGTTTTCTAGTTTTACCAGATTCACTACCTCAGGAAACATTAAACGCCTTGGGCCATTTTACGCCGTGCTTTGTAATCGACTAAGCCACCGCATAATATAATTTACGCAAAGCAATGTCTAATTTTTCTTTGCGCCATAAAAAAAAAAGAAGATCCGTGTACAGTCAGACTCACGTACTGTTTCGAGATTCCCTGAATGAATTTGTAGGATGTTTTGAAACTAATCGATTAGATCGATCTGTAGATAGGGTAAAGCATAGTTTCAAAATTTACATATATTATTTATCAATAAAAAAGTCGCAGTCCCTTAGCACATCGATTGTGTTGCCATATGGATATCTGATTTACGATCAAATTTTGTGTTTATAAATATCCCGAGTTTGAAATCTCCAGATCAGTTCTTTATGTCAAGCTTACGTGTACTTGGTCGGCGATCGTCCTTCAAATATCATCTGTTCAACAAGCTTACCGTGGGGATGATGAGTAAAGCCACATGCGAATCAGTGAGATTGTGATGTCATCCATATGTAAATATGCTGAATAATACATAAACACGTGATAAATTGGGAAACAAAATATATTTTGCAGCAGCTTGCGATTTTGCGATTAACTGTCTTCGTTATACACGTTTAAACGAAACGTCTTGTGGATGATGCAGGCCTTGACCAAGTTTCTTGTATGTCTTGGACTGGTTACTGTCCTAGCGCTTGTTATATATGGCTATGCTGAATGGCTCAAAAAACTGCGTATTGATTCGTCCGTCGAAGAGTATACGATAATACAAGGCGTACAAGAAGCGCTTTCAGCTAGTATACAAACATTTAGAGCACGGGTTGCCACGTTTGAAAAGCATATCTCAAATTATCAAGCACACAAAGCCGCAACTAGTCAATATGTCGTTAGTAAGGAAGATGTCGAGCGCAGGGAACTGGGTAACCAGAAGCTAACAAAGGAAGTTGACCGTGTTCTTGAAAACGCAATGCAATTTATTGCCAACATTGAGTTGAGAGTGCAACAGCTGGAAGAGAAGAAAGCGCTGATTTTAGTTCAATTGAGGAAAGACGGAGCAATTGAAAAAGTTAATAGTCTTTCGGAAAACAAGGTGCAATAAGTAAGTTAAAATTATTCTTCATTGTTAATAAGAAAAACTGTGGCGTAAACAATATTTCTGAAGCCACATAGGAATTGGTTAGTATCGGCGTTTCCGAAAGCTGTTTACATTATTCAATGACTGAACAAGTTATTGCAATCCAAGTTAACGCCCTAATATAATTCCAAGCGCTAATAACACCCAATTGTTAAATACTTGGTGTAAGCTTGAATGAATATTAGGGAGGTGTTTATGTCGCAAACACAGCCAGAACTAGTGAACATTTGACGTATGCGTTTAGGATGACGGTCTAATTTCTCTTTCTCTTTTTTTTTCTCCTTAGTGCCAGCGTACAAACACTATTCAGGTCATTTCAGTGGTAAATAAAGTGACTTGAATTAATCGAAGAGGAGATATCTGCCCTCGACTATATTTTTTTTAAATTTGAACCTTGGGTTTTGGTTCACTCTCGATAATATCTTCGAGAATTCCGTTCCGCGACCTTTGTATTTTCGAAAGTGCCGAGACTTTGACAATTTTTTATAAGCACGCTTCCATCGCGTTCTCGTCTATCTTCTTTTCGTTAAGATTATTGTCATTACTGCATAAAAATTCTCAAGTTTGCCGTCTCGTAGTCTTTCTTTTTTCCCAACTTTGTTCATCTTATTCTATTGCACTTCACATTGGGAATAAAGACAATATAAAACCAATTTGTTTGGATTCATTCTCCAGTCTGTAATCATACTTGAGAATCTATCGCGTCGGCTTTGTTTATGATGTTACTTGTTCACGAATCTGAAAACTTTATTATTGTGTAATATAGTTTTTGCCTGGCTAGAGCTTCTTGACTCTGCATCATTTGTTTGAGGTGTAATAAAGAATAAACACATTCATTTCCATAAGACTTCTATTAATATCGTTTGGGGTTGTTTGCATGTAAAATGAGTTTCGTTTAGCCACCATTAGCATTTAGTTTATCAACTTTCACAATTTAGTAGTAATGTTCTTCGAACTGCAAATATATTCACTCTTGTTGGCTTTACTCCTGTATGTTGATAATGGTGTTTACTGGTTAAACACAACGTTCTTGTGCGCTAGGTCTAATTTTAGCGTGAATAAACACTGTTACCTAAATTAAAAATCCAAAATTGAATTTATTAGGCTTGAGTAGCTTAAATTTTCGGAAGGGGCGCAACTTACAACTTATTGAGCTCAGACACACGGGACTAGAACTGACTGATAAAGAGAAATGTTGATACTTTTGCATACTTGGCAATTACCATCTAACGCCAAGCTTATTAGTCCAGTGATGCTAGACTTTTTCACCATGTTTTGCAATGTAATTTAAATTAAGCCAGAACTTGGATTTAACATGACCTAAAAATCATATCATTTAATTTAATACTTTTGCAAGTACAAGATGTAATTATGGTTTGAATGTATAGGGTTAGCTGACGCGGATCAGATACATGTATAAACTTTCGGCCGGCTCAACCAATACGCGTATTTTATCACTATAATATATTCTGCTAGACGACAAAATTACCGAAAAAAGTAGTAAAATATGCGTATTTATAAACGGCTTCAACCCAAACAGGCAACTAAATTTTATTTCAGAAAAAGTATATCTCAATTTTGATAGTTTGACAGTCTTTTCTCTTCTCCAAAATCTATATATACTACGCAATGGCAATAATTTTTGTATAATTTTGAAAGTTTACTGATTATGCTTTCCAAAATAAAAGAGTACATTTTTATACCAATTTGTTAATATGTTATAGTCTAATTTTATATTTAAATTACAGCTTATCTTGCTTATTTAGGCAGAAAACGTGTACAATCTGACAGTGTAAGTGTGCTCAACAGCGGAATGCGTATGCTAACGCAACGTTAACGATGTAATGTAAACACAAGCAAATTTGTATGAGAGATTCTCTGCGGAGACATTCATGCCATCGACGTGGGTTTAGTTTACTGGCCGAATAATTTTGTATCAATATCTATACTGCAGTTAAAGTAAGTTATTCGTAATATAGACAGAGGTGTCATGGACAACAATTGTTTGTGGCTATAGAAAAATTATAACAGTTAAGCGGCGTGTTGAGTAAATATAAAAGAAGCGTAACACGTTTATTAAATCGATAGCGAGCATGTCTTTTAACTTGTGTGACTGTATTTGCCATGTTCTAAAATACTTAACTATTACAAAAATGTAAAGCCATTATTAAAGTCTGTCAGTTTACGTCAAATTTTACGGGCATAAATGTAGCAACAACATAAACACGAACAAACTAATTGTCAAAATGCCAACTCAACAAATACTGTAGCAGCTACTAACGTCAATTCTGTGCTTGGGCTAGCAAGCCACAATGTTATCACATTGAAGCCCAGAAGATTTAGACAGAGAATATGAATTTATTTCATAGTTTATTTTGGATAATTTTGTTTTAAAAATATGTTTGAGCAAATTAAATATACATACAGTATATTACTAAGTTTGGTACGATATACGTGTGTATACTAATTAACTTTACATATTATTATTTTCCGTAGTACTTATACTTTATACTATTATGGTATACTGCTTTTAATAGAATGACAAAAACAATAAAGAGGAAATGTGTTGGCTTATAATAATAACGAATAAGTCTAATTATAACTTACTGAGGAATGTGCAATGTAACACAAGCACTGAGAATAAGATTCGTTCAATTGAAGAATCAACCATCATGCCATGTCGTTAAAATCAGAGACTGTTCACAATCCAGCAATCGATAATTTGGTTCAATCCTCCTCGGAAAGTGAAAATAAATACTCAAGACTTGAGTGGATTCCTTACAAGGAAATTACCGAGATAGAATCAAGTCAAGTCGACAACGTCTATTATGCTATTCACGACAAGAAAACGTATTGTGATAAACTGATGCTGCTGTTACTTGGCAGTTGTGAGGAATGTACACCAACATTTGTGAACGAGTTTGCCAGAATATACTCACTTTCAACACACGGACACTGTAATGATGTCAGTCAATTTAGACGGTATGATAAATGGCTTAAGCGGCGCAACGACCTCATAGAAGGATTTACCAAGTTTGACGGTAATTACTACATGGTTGCCAACCAAGTCTTTTACTATTGTTATTCTCTCTATGGATTCTGCTCTGCATGTGGAGTGCTCCGATGTAGTCCTGTGTGGTGCGTTTGCGGACATAAAGAATTATCCGACGGATGGACTAGCAATAACAAGCAACTCGATGCGTTGATCAAGAAATCTCAACTACAAACAAATTCTGCAAACGATGCCTATTTGGAATGGATTCCATTTGATTGTATTGATGTTAAGACATATGGTCTATACATGGATAGTCTGCCTACTTATTACGCAGTTGTTACATTGATTCCGCTTGAAATAACGGACGAGACGCATGATTTATATTATGCCGAGGTAACTATTTATTTATGCATCATCTATATTGAATAGTTTAACTAATTATTGACTATTATTTCCACTAGTTATGTGATGAACATCTAGAGATTCTTACCACGAATGCTTGGTCTTTCATCGGATTTACATATGATGCGAGTATACAAAAGTATTGTCTAATAAAAGTTGACAATGGATTATGTCTGGCGTGTACGGAACACCTAGACTCTAAAATAAACGCATTCTGTTATTGGTGTAAAGCACCAAGACCGCTCGATTGGACCACGGGGAACAAATTATTGGATTCATTTATTATGGAGTCGTGGAGTGACATGAATAATAAGTATGATGCATATATACAATGGATTGAATTCTCTCAGTTGACAAACATCCAAGAGATGACATCATTACGCCATGGATGCACACACGTAGCAGAGTGGTTAGACCAGACAGCGGATGAACCGACGAAAGTGTTGCTCAAAAAAATAGTCGATGAGCAAAACGATCAGTTATTTGATTTTCATCAGGTGAATTATTTTACGTTTATAATCGCGTGATCGCGTGTTTAAATGGACCAATGTTGTTAATGACTGTATTTGTTTACTCAATAGCTAATTAATGATTACCCGGAAATGTTAACACCGAGTAATATTTGGATAATCGGAATCACCCGAAAGTCATCTACTCGAGAATACTATTTAGTGTTCTACTACGACGTACATGCACTGTTGGACAGGTTTATACGAAATCATGCACAAGTAAACTACATACAATATAGCGATCTTTACGAACTCGAAGAAATTGGGTCTGGTGGCTATGGAACAGTTTATTCTGTCAAATATAAAAAGCACTCAGAAGTAAGGCATATGCGAGAAACTGTTGTACTCAAACGCTTCAGCTGTTTTGATGAAACGCCGGAATTATTTATTACCGAGGTAAGCGATAATCGGTAATATAACTGATTAAAGTGATATTTAAGCTAATTCTTATTCTTTTATTTCACAGTTCAGAAATCATGCCAAGTGCTTTGATGGTTTATTTCTTAAAATTTTTGGAGTCACGCAAGACCCAGAAACGAAAGAATACATGATCGTTATGGAATATGCTAACAAAGGTAGTCTTTTGTCCTATTTGGACCAAAATATTAACAAATTGACGTGGTGGAAAAAATTAGAGCATTTGGAGAATATTGCATGGTATCTGTATTATATTCATGGTGTGGGTCTAGTACATTGTGATCTTCATGGCGGGAACGTTGTTTTGCTTGATGATTCATCTAGGGTCCAATCATTCATATGCGATCTTGGTCTTTCTCAATCGGTGAATTCACACAAGTCAAATGCAACCATTCGAGGCGTCTTGCCCTTTATCGCACCGGAAGTCTTTCATACCCGCAAATTTACTCAGAAATCAGATGTGTATTCTTTTGGTATCATTATGTATTTGATTGCTACTGGTGAACCGCCTTTTAGAGATAGGCAGTTCGATAGAGATTTGATATGCGACATTGTGGGCGGGCTACGACCGTCGATGCCTGATTTCGCACCAGAGGAATACAGGAAACTTGCCGAGTGGTGTTGTGATGTTGATCCTGATA